TCATTTTCTCCAGGAGAACTGATCTCTGTCGTCTGGGGTTCAGGTGGAATTCTGGGAGCTCCCTAGGCACCGCCTGGAGGTTTGCAACCCTAGTTGGGACATTCCTGGAGCTGTTGGGGTGGAGGTTGGGAAGGGGAGGGAGCTCGGTGGGGTACAACGCCATGGAACCCACCCTCCAACACAGACATTCCTTCAGTGGAAGTGATGTCTGTCGTCCAGAGATCAGTTGTGATTCCAGGAGATCTTCAGGCCCCGCCTGGAGGGTGGCAACTACTGCTCTGGCAAACTTGGGGCGTCTCCCAGGCCAAGCTGTTTCTGCCTGCCAGTCCTCAAGATGGCAGCACGGCCCTGGGGGAAAAGGAAGGCCAGACACGGGAACCCCGCGTGACTCTGACGCGTCTCTCTAAACCGAGGCAGCCGTTGGTATTTATTGACAAAATTTATATCCCGCCTTTCTGCCCTTACAAAGGCCACCAAGGCTGTTAACTCTTTGAAACGTGCATAATCAAAATGAGCAGATTCTTCTTTCAGGAGGATATTTGATTCGGGGGGCTGCCTCTTCCTGCTGGACTTTAAAACGAATCCAAACCGTGTAAAGTGAATTGTGTTCCAGAAGTCCTTTTCCGCCCGATAGGAAATGAAATTTTTATTACAAACGCCAGCCTCTCCAGCAGCAACTTTTGGCTTAAGGCAGAAGAAACTTTCGGCTTAAAGCAGAAGAAAACGTTTTAAAAAGCAGAAGGCCGGCTTGAGGCTCTTTAAACTGGGGGCTCCAACTTATTGAGCCTGTGGGCACCTTTGGGATTCTGGCAGAATGTAGTGGGAATAGCCACAAAATGGCGGCTGTAGGGGGTGGGGCCAGCTGCCACAAAATGGCTGCCGCAGCTTGCCTTCAGTCACACAGTGAAGAGCTTTGTGCTGTGGGGGCAGTGACTTCCAAAAGCAGTGTTTTTAAAAACCTGCACAGACAATCGACTCTCCAGTGGTCCTGCCCTTTTTCTAAAAACGCTTGGCAGGCACCAGGAAAAGTCTCAGTGGACCCATGCTTTAGACAGTATGCAGCTTTTTGGAAATAAAGAGGGCTTCCATTGGAGGTTTCTCTCTGGAGCCCTTGTTTTGTGGAACAACTGCACCGTATCATGTTGTAATCCTCCCTTTTCCAGGTTTCCCTTACCCTCAGTATATATTCTTTCCCAAACCCACAAAACTTTCTAGAAGGACCACTGTCCAGGTTCATTCGTTTGTTGCGTGGAAAGAACGGTGGGCGCTTTCCTGCAACAAAGGTCCCTCACGTACACTTGTGGGTGCTGTTTTCCAAATTCCTCACTCCCACCCCGCTGTGGCACCACAGGGCTTTTGGACGGCTTTTTAAAAAAACAAAACAAAACAAAGGTAATTGCTGTTGTGATATAATGCTATAGCAATCAATCACCTCTGACCTCTTTCATTTCAAATTTTAATTCCTCTGACTTCAGGTGATCATTTAAAAATGGACACTTCCGGAATGTTTTTGTTGTGGAGTTGTAAGGGGAAAGAGAAGGGGAAGAGATTGGATTTATACCCCGCTCTTCGTTACCTGAAGGAGTCTCAGAGCGGTTTACAATCTCCTTTCCCTTCCCACAACAGACACTTTGTGTGGTAGGTGGGGCTGAGAGAGAACTGCCCTTGAGAGAACAGAGGTAGGTGGGGCTGAGAGAGCTCTCCCAAGAACTGTCCATGAGGGAACAGCTCTGACAGAACTATGGCTTGCCCAAGGTCATCCAGCAGCTGCATGTGGAGGAGTGTGGAATCAAACCTGGTTCTCCCAGATTAGAATCGCTCTGCGCACTTAACCACTACATCAGTTTGGTGTAGTGGCTCAGTGGTAGAGCATTAGTTTGGTGGACAGAAGGTCCCAGTTTGAGTCCCCAGCATCTTCAGTTAAAAAAGGACCTGGCCCGTAGCTACAGGGGGTCTATTGGGGGTTCCTTAAAGGGCCAGCACCGCAAGATTTCCTTCTGAAAATGGTAAGGGAATTCAGTGCTTTAGGCAGGGGAAGGGAGGGGTGTTTTTGTACTTCATTTATGTCTGGGGTGGCTGTTGTGGGGAGTGTCTGTGCTGCGTTTAATTTAATTTATTGGTAGTATTATTGTCTTTATTGTTACTTAAAAGTACCGTTGTTTAGAGACATACAGAAAAAATAATGGCGGCCCCACCAGCATTTTTTTTGTCCCACAAGCCACAAAATCCTGGCTTATGGGGCTGAAAAGGACCAGGCAGTAGGTGATGAGATGACCTCTGCCTGAGACCCTAGAGAGGCACTGCCAGTCAGAGTAGACAATACTGACATTGACGGAGGGGTCTGATTCAGTATAAGGCAGCTTCGTGTCTGTTCATGTTCATTATTACCCAGGGTTTTGTGTTGTTGTTTTTTAAGAGGTGCTGGAACTCTCAAGAGTCTGTACTCTTTTAAACTTTAAAACCTTTAAAATTTTAAAAAAAACTTTTAAAAACTTTTTTTAAACTTAAAACTTGTCAAAAAGGTTCTGGAACTCTGTTCCAGCGCGTTCCCCCAGAAAAAAAGCTCTGTATTGCCAAAGATATCTGTTTTCTCTTCTTTTTTAAACCAGGGGATGTTCCTTGCCTGGAAATCAGTAATCCTTTTATTCATTATGGAAGAAAGCCAAATTGGAAAGGCTCATAGACATCTCTAATAAACGGGGCCTTGCGGATAAAATTGGTCTTGAAGGTAAGCTGAATAATAAACTGCATTGGTTTAGATATTTTCAATTTAAAAATTTGTCCCAACTTATTACTCGACCTTTTATAGCTCTAGAGCAAATACTGAATTCCCCTTGCCCAGTAAAATGGGGCACTCTTCCCCCAATATATAAAATGTTGATCTCTTTGGATAGCGTTAAACAGACATCGTCTCAACAAAGGTGGTAAAGGAGCTGTCCATTGGAATTATCCGAAGATCAATGGTCTCGGATCTGGTCCTCTTATCTCTTTAATGCCCCTGCATTTGATATAAAGCTTCAGACCTTTAAAATTCTATCTTGTGGATATTTAACCCCTCTTAAATTGTCTCATATGTATTCTAAGTGTACTCCATTGTGCTGGAAAATGTGTGGAGAAGTGGATTCGTTTGAGCATAGTTGGTGAAGGCGCAAGGTTATCACAGCAGTTTGGGAACAGGTTTTAAATCGGATTTATATTATGATCAGTGTTCCCTCTAAGCTGAGTTAGTGTGAGCTAGCTCACAGTTTTTTAGTCTCCAGCTCACAGATTTTTGTCTTAGCTTAGGACGGATGGCTCCAGAGCAAACTAATTTATGCAGTAGCTGAATCGCTCACTCACAACTTTAATGCCAGTAGCTCACAAAGTAGAATTCTTGCTCACAAAACTCCACAGCTTAGAGGGAGCATTAATTATGACTGGTTTTAATATACCTATGGAACCAGAACTCTTACCGTATTTCTTTTTTATTTTCTGCTTGCCCATTGTTGATGGGCAAGGTTTATTAGTTTTTTAAAGAGTTATATAAAACCAAAAAAAGAGAGCCATACACTTCAAAGGTATCCAGCCATTGCCTCGTTCATAACATCTTTAGATACATAGTTCCCTTTTCCCCTTTGTTAATCTATAGTCCACAACAGATGTCATTAAGTAAAATTCTGTTCCCAATAAACAATTCATTTTTTCTATATCCTATCTGCTATTACTATTATTAATCAATTTTATAACAATAAAAATATAAAAGAAAAAACACACACAGGTATTTCACAGCAATTAGACAGTTCAAATTTCTTATATAATATCAATCTAGTCCCTTTAAGATATTCTTTCATATTTTTAGTATTGTTAGCTTTTAGAACTCTTATTTCTAAACTTCTGGTCAGATCTAGTCATACCAAAATCTGCTAAAGAATTAATAGCCACATTATTGATTGCAGCAAAAACAGCTATAGCTGCTAAATGGAGAGATATGGCAGGGCCTTCCATAAATACATGGCATAACAATATATGGAATCTCTATAATGAGGAAAATCACTGATCAAATAAAGTAATATGGATATGATATGGATATATATTCCAAATTTGTAGTAAAGTAGTTTCCGGTATCAAGTCATTTGGCTTCTCACAATGTGATTCCTAAAAGATTGGTTCATATGAACTTGTTTAATATCTGATGTTAAAAAGGTTGTATGATATGTTTGCCAGTTGGCTGGTTTAAATTTGGTGTTACGATCCACTTCTCTAGGTAAAGGTAAAGGCTTCCCTTGCTTGAGAGCTAGTTGAATCCAACTCTAGGGGGCAGTGCTCATTTCTGTTTCCAAGCCGAAGAGCCAGCGCTGTCTGAAGACATCTTGGTGGTCATGTGGCCGGCATGACTAAACGCCAAGGAGCACGGAACGCTGTTACCTTCCCACCAAAGTGGTACCTATTTATCTACTTGCAGTTTCTTGCTTTCAAACTGCTAGGTTGGCAGGAGCTGGGACCAGAGACGGGAGCTCACTCTCCCGCGCGGCACTAGGGTCTTGAACCGCTGAACTACAGACCTTCTGGTCTGCAGCTCAGCATCTTAGCCTCTGAGCCACCACGGCCTACTTCTCTAATGCAACATAACCGAGAAGTATTTTTGTATGACGTTCTATGCATCTTATATGTTCAATATCTTACTTATCACAAGGTTGTACAATACGTTCTTGTTTTGTGTGTCACCCGTAGGGCTCTTTTTGTAGCAGGAACTCCTCTGCATATTCGGCGACACACCCCTCATGTAGCCAATCCTCCAAGAGCTTACAGGAGCCCCTGTAAGAAGAGCTCTGTAAGCTCTTGCAGGATTGGCTACATTAGGGGGGCGTCACCTAATATGCAAAGGAGTGCCTGCTACAAAAAAAGCCCTTATGTATGTATATGTGTGTGTGTGTGTGTGTGTGTATACTCAATATTTTTTTTAAAAGTCTGCTCATGTGTGCCAGAAATTAACTCATGAAGAACAAAGCAAGGATTTCGGAGGGGTTGTGGCTCAGTGGCAGAGCATCTGTCCAGCAAGCAGAAGGTCCCAGGTTCAATTCCTGCCACCTCCAGTTAAAAGGACCAGGCAGCAGGTGATGCGAAATACCCAACAGCCTGGGGAGCACCTGCCAGTCGGAGCCAGCAACTCTGATGCTGATGGACCAATGGTCTGATTTCGTAGACGGCGGCTTCATCTGCACTTAGCTGGTATTAAATAATCATGTCTAGGTTGAAGGAAGCAGTTTACAGGTGGGTGTAACTCAGGGATCTCCTATTTTAGCAATTAAGGCAGGGATTAATTGCCTTCTCCCCCGCCCACCCCCAGCTTTCCCAGGGCAGTTTTGCATGGTACCTTGCAGTCTCTCACCCTGCAACATCTCTGGAGAGAGACGAAAGGCGCGCTAATTAAATCTGCAAAGGATTGCCAGTAAGCACGCTGACGGCATGCAGTATTGCAGAGATACGGGACTCCTACGCATGCCTCCTGGTGGCATCTGCTCTGCATGGAAAGTGGAAATGGGAGGCAACAATGAGGGCGAAAGTTTTACAAGGAGCACATAGTTTGTTTCCATGTTAGGCTTTGTTTTGTTGAGTAGATAAAGAGCACGTAGTTTGAGACAAATATCGTCCGCTATTATCCAGTGGTATGCAGAAGTACCGCTAGTAATACAGCCGTTGACTGGAAATTACCATGCTCAAGTTAATGTTGCCAACTTCCAGGTGGGACCTGGAGATTCCGCCCAGAATCATAACTGATCTCCAGACCAATGCTCCCTCTAAGCTGTGGAGTCCTGTGAGCAAAAATTCCACTTTGTGAGCTGCTGGCATGAAAGTTGTGAGCGAGCCATTTGGCTGCTGCATAAATTTAGTTTGCTCTGGACAAAAATGTGTGAGCGGGAGGCTAAAAAACCATGAGCTAGCTCACACTGACTCAGCTTAGAGGGAACACTGCTCCAGACTACAGAGACCAGTTCCCCTGGAGGAAATGGCTACTTTGGAGGGTGGGCTCTAGAAGAAGAAGAAGAGGAGGAGATTGGGTTTATACCCCACCCTTCACTACCCGAAGGAGTCTCAGAGCGGCTTACAATCTCCTTTCCCTTCCCCTCCCCACAACAGACTCCCTGTGAGGTAGGTGGGGCCGAGAGGGCTCTTTCGAGAAATGCTGGTGAAAGAACAGCTCTGAGAGAACTTGTGACTGACCCAAGGTCACACCAGCAGCTGCATGTGGAGGCGTGGGGAATCAAGCCCGGTTCTCCCAGGTTAGAGTCCGCGCTCCTAACCGCTACACCAAACTAGCTCTCTATGGCACTATCCTCTTCTGCGGTGCCTCCCCTCCCCTAACCCTCCCCAGGCTCCATCCACAGCTCTCCGGAAAACTTCCAACCTGGGGTTGGCGACCATAGCTGCAGCTCATGACATTAATAGAACCCTACACCTGACATCATCACACCCTAGCCAATGAATCTCAGAATTTAGGATGATGGGGACCTGGCAGCCCTAAACGATTTCTGGTTACAGGCAGGGCTATTTTTGGGCAGGAACGCACACGAACGGAGTTCCGGCTGGCTCCCGAGTTGGCCACGCCCAGCAGGAACTCATTAGCATCATAGGGCACCACCAACAGCAGAAACTCATTAGGATTGGCTACATCAGGGGTGTGTGGCCTAACATGCAAAGGAGTTCCTGCTACAAAAAAAGCCCTGGGTTTTGACAACAAACAGGGTAAACAGAATAACAAGCAAAGGGTGGGTGTGGCTGGATGGCCACACTTCTGGTAACATGGGGGTGCGGCCTAAAAAGCTAACGAGCTGTGCTGTTGGGGTGTAGCCTAATATGCTAATGAGTCCCTGCTGTTGGGTGTGGCCTATTTTGCTAATAAGCTCCTGCTGGGCTTTTTCTACAAAAAAAGCCCTAGGTACAGGTCTAACCTCTCCTGATCCGGCCCTGGCTTCAAATCTCTAATCGGTCGCAGTGCACTCTTTCTAGCAGAGCTACCTCACAGGCAGGGCTGCCAATCTCCTGATAGGATCTGGAGTTCTCCCAGAATTAGAAGTCATCTCCAGACCACAGAGATCCGTTCCCCTGGAGAAAAAGAGCAGCTTTGAAGGGCATCCTCCGTGGCATCACATCCTTGCCAACCTCCACCCTCAAAATACACCTCCTAAATTCCTGGAATTCCCCTAGGCAGAGTTGGCAACCCAAGACAGGGATGCTCAGCGAATAATACAAGGCCTACTTTCTCACAGACTTGGCTCTGAGCTAGACTCAGGTGGGTAGAAGAAGAAGAGGTTGGATTTATCCCCTGCCCTTGACTACCCGAAGGAGTCTCAGAGTGGCTTACAATCTCCTTTCCCTTCCCCTCCCCACAACAGACTCCCTGTGAGGTAGGTGGGGCCGAGAGGGCTCTTTCGAGAAATGCTGGTGAAAGAACAGCTCTGAGAGAACTTGTGACTGACCCAAGGTCACACCAGCAGCTGCATGTGGAGGCGTGGGGAATCAAGCCCGGTTCTCCCAGGTTAGAGAGTCCGCGGTCTTAACCACTACACCAAATCGGCTCTCTCAGCCGTGCTGATCTGCAGCAGCAAAACAAAGTTTGAGTCCGGGGGAACCTTTAAGACCAGCAAAGTTTCATTCTGGGTATAAACTTTCAGGTGCATGCAGTGTGTATGCACACAAAAGCTTATACCCAGATGAAAACTTTGCTGGTCTCAAAGGTGCCCCTGGACTCAAACTTTGTTCTTTCAGTTCTGAGCCCTACCACTTCATAATACATATTGGGAACGTCAAAAACGCTTTAAAAAAACACATTATAAAAACCTTCCACATCGAAAAGCAGCATGCACATCTGGACGAAGGGCTCTAGAGTAGCCTGACGGTGTGTTTGAATGTGCACGCTGTTCATTTTCTATGGAGCCCTGGGCCCGATCAGAAAGAGACATACCATTTTGTGTGTCCACAAGTTGGCTCCTTACTGTAATGCTTACCACAGTCCTACAAAGTAGGCCCACATTTTTATCCCCCGTTGCAGACAGGCTGAGGCAGAAAGCGTGTACATACAGTGCCTTGAGGTGCTTGGAGGAAGGATGAAATTCCACTGTGATCAAGAAATGGAAGAAAATTAATTGCTCAGAGCCTAATAATCAAAATGGAGCTGCGGTGGCTCAAGTGGTTAAGACGCTGAACTGCAGGCTGTGGAAGGTCAGTAGTTCAGCAGTTCGAGACCCAGGTGCCGCATGATGGAGTGAGCTCCCATCTCTAGTTCCAGCTCCTGCCAACCTAGCAGTTCGAAAGCAAGAAATTGCAAGTAGATAAATAGGTACCACTTCGGTGGGAAGGTAACAGCATTCCGTGCACCTTGGTGTTTAATCATGCCGGCCACATGACCACGGAAATGTCTTCGGACAGCGCTGGCTCTTCGGCTTGGTTCCCCTGGAGGAAATGGCATCTTTGGGTGGGGGTGGGGGGGTGGAGTCCAGTGTTCCCTCTAAGCTGAGTTAGTGTGAGCCAACTCACAGTTTTTTAGCCTCTGGCTCACACCTTTTTGTCTTCGCTCAGGAAGGACGGCTCCAGAGCAAACTAATTGATGCAGCAGCCAAATCGCTTGCTCACAACTTGAATGCCAGGAGCTCACAATTTTTGCTCACAAGACTCCACAGCTTAGAGCAGGGGTGTCGAAACTCATTTGTTATGAGGGCCGGATCTGACATAAATGAGACCTTGTTGGGCCGGGCCATGTGTGTCATAAAATGTAATGCCAGGTAGCAGAGATATAAACTTAATAAAGGACACAAAGGGGTTTTTTTTTAACTTAAAATAAAAACATGCTAAAACATGAGCACTCTTGCAATATTTTGTTTATTTAACAGTGTCTAATAATAACTGACACCTCTTGCGCTGAATTATTGCATCAAAATGTCTGCTGTTGCAGTCTTGAGTATGGATGAGTCTTGAGTATGCTGTTCAGGTGTGTACCTGTAAGCTGCAAACCTACGATGACACAGCAGCAGCAGAACTGGAAGAAAAAGCAGAAGACAGCCAGGTCCATTGCCGGCCTGATAGAAGCCCTCCGGGGACCTCATCCGGCCCCCAGGCTGCATGTTTGACACCCCTGGCTTAGAGGGAGCATTGGCTGGAGTCTCAGGTTTTGCATCCCCATTGGGCTCTCTCTCCCGCCCCTTCCCAAACTCTGAAGAAGCGTGCCTGCACACAAAAGCTTATCTCCAGAATTAAACTCTGTCGGTCCTGAAAGTGCCACTGGACTCAAAATTTGTTCTGCCGTCCCCCAGACACCGACGTCCCCAAATCTCCAGGGATTTCCAAACCTGCAGCTGGCTGCACCATCTGCCTAGGTATGTGCAGCAAACATTGAGAAGTCTCTTTTAATTTGTTTTACGTTTTCCCTCTAGCCTTTTAACAATAATTTTACCCCAAAAAATGCACGGACGGATTGAACTCGAAATGCAGAACTTGAAATGAGCATGGATACCAATGCTGTAATCTCACTCTGCTTTCACGTTCAGAAGGAGAGAGATCAAATGTCAAATGAATGGAAAGTGCCAGATTGGGGAGCTAAAAACTGTTGCTTGGCAAATCAGTGTTAATAATAATTGTGTCGGTCCCTGAAAACCTGGGCAGAAGCCGGCTTTCAGGCTAGAGTTCTTCCTCAGGGTCCTGTTGAAATGGGGAAAGAAAGGCAGTGTAGTGTAGCGGCCAGACTAGGATCTACGAGGCCTGGGTTCGGATCCTCACTCTGCCATGCAGATTACTGGGTGACCTTGCAACAGTTGCTCTCCCTCGGCCTAACTGACCTCACAGGATTATTGTGAGGATAAAATTTGGGAAAGAATAACCACGGCCCCTGCCACACGGGGGAGGGGGAAAAGCCGCACCAAAAGAAACATGCGGCGGCGGGATCACATAGATCCCCTGAGCCGCCGCACAGTTCCTCCCCGGCATGATCAGATGCGGGGGGGGGGAAGGTACTGAAGGGAGAGTGAGGCTGCCGAACTGC